TTGATGAATTTTAGCAGGAACGGAGTTTCTCCGGGCATTGCAGCCTTAGAATATACCTAAACCTCTTAGATATATCCGACAAGGCTCTGTGTAGAGAATATATGAAGACGATACTCCTATTCACATTCACAATAGAGTTAATGTGGTAGTTAAAAGTAATCTTTGTGATTTTTTATGATTTTATCGAAGGCCTGCATCCAATGATTCACAAAGTCATGGATCTATGTTGATTATACTCATTATATAGAGACAGATTTACTAATATTACTATTATTATTATTATTAATATTTAAAATGAAATTATTTTTATTTGTAGAGAATCCGAAAAGTTCAATTGAGAGAGAAGAATAACATTCATCCTCATTTACCAACGATATATAGACAAATAAATGCATTTAATTGTAAATATACAAAATTTATATATTCAAATTATGAAAAACGATTGTTTATTATATCGTCATATTTATGGAAATATTGTATTTCATTTCAGAATTATCCGTTGAAAAATGATGCCGCATTTGTCCAATTATACAATAATTAATAAACCTAATAGAATAGATATAAACAATTTGATCGGGGAATTGAATTGTGGTGCTGCCCGAATAATTTTTCAATGGGAAAATAAAAGCTGTCAGCACTTTTCAAATTGGTTTGTTGGTTTGGCCATGATTTATTGTTTATTTGAACAAAAGTAGACAGCGCAAAATGGTGAACACGAGTAGTTAGGGCATGTTTGCTAGATTGTGCTATAAAACCCAAAAATAATGTTTGCCATACATTAACATTTTATATACGACATTAATAATTAATTACTATTGATAAATAAAAGAATAAGAAAGCTGTTGGGTATAAAAAATGAATTACTTTGTCAAATGATGACGTAGCTGTGTTCTTATTTTAATCAGACCCTAGTAAGTAATTATGTAAATTTTATAAAACGAGATATTGATTCTTTTATTGTTTACAAGAGAGTGATAATTTGATGGAATGCAGTTATATTTAATTAAATATGGAGTGGTATACAAAAACTGTTTCTAAACTACATAGGTCATGGAGAAAGTCAGAAAAGTCATACAATTCTTTTTTTTTAATAGTAATTTGGATTTAATTTAGTGACGTGCGTACTTAGCACAGCATGACTCATATTTGCCCTTGTTATGGCCTACAAATAAGCAATTTTTATGATTAATTAGTCCAAGTTATCTTGAAGTTTAAATACCATATCAGCATCAGAAGCAATGAATGATTATGCCAAAATGTGTCTTGAGAACTAGGCACCGACTAATTTAATGGAGTTTAATAGTACTCAAAATGGATATTGTTTTTGTGTCTAAATATGGTGACATCTCTTTTCCTCGTTTTAAATAGTCGCAAGGACATTTGTTTCAAGAAAGGACTGTAGGTCAACCATTTCAATTCCTAATAGTGTTTGGGGCTTGGAAGGCCGCACCTCTGGAGGTAAAAAATGCATCAGATGTGGATATTCAAACGCGCCGATAGTAATACTTCTGGAGTGTAAGAAAACAAGACATTTAAATACTTCTACTATACGTTCTGATCATTATCTTTTATAATAAGAGATAAATATAGATTTTGCAGGATACTATAGTCTATTTTTATGTATGAGAGAGTAATAAAACAGCATTTCTAATGCAAAACTTAGTACGGTCATTTTAAATATTTTTACAGAATAATCTAAATATTTCCTAAAATTGTAATAAATGTACCTGAGCTATATCAAGTTTTGGGTCTTTTACTGGTCCTTTATAAACATAAGCTGTACAGAATAGAAAAAGGTTTGGACCGACCAAAAGCCCTGTGTATTAAAGATTACATAGCCGTATCTTAAGATTATTTTCAATAAGTACCTATTTGCCAATTTTGTTTTATTTTAATTCCAAGAATTTCTTACAGTAATCGAATTATAAGTAGATAAATACCTTCCCAACAAATTTCACCAAAAATGCGATTATAGGTTTTCCATTTAGTAAGGAGGTCCAAGTTGTGTATTCTTGACAGTTTACTAAATGTCGTTTAGTTGCAACTTGCAAGGTGCAGTGTGAATTCTAGTGTGATCATGGAAAATTTGGAAGGGCCGCATAAACGACAAAAAATCGGTCCTTTAACAGTTTTAGTTAGTAGTACGCTTGGTGTTGGAAAATCTACGATTTACAGAGTTGTTGAAGAAGAGAAATGTGGCGAGTTTCAAACGGCACGTAAAGCTCCAGGAAAACCAAAATTTTAATTCGAAAATCTTTTGAAAGAAAGACTTCGAAGGAAAGTGCATGCGTTCTTCTTTAGAAAAGAATTTCCGACAGTAGACAAAGTTCTTGCCACGGTTCGAGATGATAAGGATTACCCTGAAATGAGTCGAAGCACACTATGGAAACTTTTAAAAGAAATAGGTTTTCTATGGAAAAAGCATTCCAGAAAGTCTATTTTAATAGAAAGAAGCGATATTGTAGTATGGAAAAAAAATTACCTAAGGACTATAAAAGAAATGAGAAACCAAAGAAGAAATATATTTTATTTAGATGAAACATGGATCAACGAGGGAAATAAACCAAATAAATTTTGGCAAGATGAAACTGTTACAAGTCGAAGACATGCTTTTTTAAATAATTTATCTACTGGTTTAAATCCACCATCAGGAAAGGGGCGCAGACTAATAATAGTACACATAGGTAGTTCAAACGGTTTTGTTAAAGGTGATTTATTGACTTTTGAATCTACTCGTACCGGTGACTACCACGAGGACATGAATGCTGATGTCTTTAAAGAGTGGTTCGAACAAATTATAGATCTTCTTCCCCAGAACTGTATAATAGTAATGGATAATGCAAGTTATCACTCGAGACTTATAAAAAAATGCCCACAACCAAGTGGTTAAAAAAAGATTTACAGAATTGGCTAAATTCAAAGAATATTAAGTTCCATCCCGGTTCTGTGAGAAAAGAACTGTATCATTTGTGTTCCCTTCATAAAGAGAAATTCAAAAAATATGAAATTGATGAAATTGCAAAAAATCGTGGGATGACGGTGGTTGAATCATCACCATATCATTGCGAAGTAAACCCGATTGAACTGATATGGGCACAGATAAAGGGAGAAGTTTCAAGAAAAAATAATTCTTTTAAAATGAGTGATGTTAAACAGTTGTTTTTGGAGGCTGTAAATAATGTGAAGCCTGAAAACTGGGAAAAGGCAGTAAATCATATGATTAAAGAAGAAGAGAAAATGTAGAAGTTGGACAATATTACTGATGAAATGATCGAGCCACTCATTGTAAATATTGGTTGCGACAGTTCATCTTCTGATTTATTATTATTTATGAACGTAACGTTGTTTAAAAGTCAAAGTTTAAACCCTTATACCTACATAACCCGTTTGACACAATGTTCTTAACATACCTTGTGGAAAAATAAAACATTTTAGAAAAAATTGCACTTTTTTACCTTCAGCTGTTTAGAAGTTATAAGCAGGTTAATTAGGTGAAAATATAAGTGTATACTCGAGGAATAACTTCAAAAAATATTTTAACTGTCTACTAAAAGAAGTGATACGCCTATGGATTACGAACGCTTTATTATTTTAATACTCTTTCATACATAAAAATAGACTATAGTATGATAAATTAAGAATTACATCTCCTTTTTACAATTTTAAACGAATTTCTGTGTGTCAATCTTCTATTAGACTATTGTAAACTTATTCTTCCACAAACCATCACAATGCATATTTTATAAACATCCTATATTTCTGTCAAAGCTATTTTAGATGATGTAGAAAATCTACTTAGCGAAGATTCCAAATTGTTTAAAAAAACTGAAACATTTGGTGATCTTAGAAGAATAGAAACGATATTAAATAATAATTTGACACTAACAATTTAAAATTATTTTAATTTTGTTCGTATATGGAGCTTTTTGACAGTGATTTCTTGAATCCATTCATACGCCTCACCATGAGCTCGTAATTTTTTATTGCCAACGTCCGACTACCCCACACCTATTTATCAAAATATAATCTCTTCCGCTTCTAAAAAAAAGAATCTAATTTTTATAGCGACAGAGCGAAAAGTCTAGCGAATCAGAATCGGTACAGGGGTGGTTTCCCCATTCAATCCTAACAACCACCGCACTGGGATAACTGTATACATTTTAGTGAATAGAACAACACAATAGGTAGAACATGCAGCGAGGGGGCTGTTTTCCATTAGTTCGTCGGATTAACGAGGGTTGTTCCAGTAAAACACCCCGCCCTTGCCTTCAGAAAACATCGGTCGGCAGAGGCAGATCGTACCTATAAAACTTCTATTATCGAATCTAGGGGGTTAATATAATGGAAAGTGATACAGAGAGAAAATCTCGTACAGTATCCAGCCAATTTAATAGATCAAAACTATTTTTATTATCTTATTTTATATAATGTACTCCAAAAATAAAAATAGTACGAGGTAAATCACCCCTAAAACTTTAGTACCAATGGCCACAGAATAATTAAGCTCTCTAAAAAATTATTCTTTTTGATCTACAAACCAGATCTCAACGGCACATTTTTTGGAAACAAATAATAATCCAATGGTAGATGATTTTGTTGAAAAATGTACATTAGAAGTCGTATAAAAAATATACTAGTAGAGTTTTGCCGAGTGAAATTTTACATTTACTAAATTAGTCGTAGAAAAAGTATCGCAACTTAGTCATTTGTTGAATGAAAACTTGTATTGGTCGTAAAGTATCCTAGTAGTTTTGTTGAAAAAACCTACATTATTAGCTTTGGTCTTAAAAGAAATAAATTATCTTAGTTGAGTTTTTTTAATTGAAAACTTAGGTCTTTTTTTTCAATACCTTTTTGCCAAACTATCTTAAGTGCCATTTGATATGATTTGATATGATACTTACGACAGTCTGGCAAAAAGGTATCGATACGTCACCACTGATTGTATTTCTCAGGCTTTGGCGATACACCTTACTAAATTCTTGTTCTCCTTGTTACAGGTTTGGTTCAAAAACCGAAGAGCAAAATGCCGCCAACAACTCCAACAGCAGCAACAAAAAGAATCAAACAGAACAACACCTTCGACACCGACCAAATCAAAACCAAGCAAAACATCTCCCGTATCAGTTCCGACAACAATAGCACCTCCTACAAACATCCCCACACCTTCGACGTCGGTCTCCCCGCCTGTCGTCAATATCAAAAAAGAATCACCTCAAGTTCAAAATTTTAACAAAAATAACGGTAACCTCACTCCTTTGGGAAGCAATACGTCTAGTGTTATAACCACTCCTTCTCCTCCTATAACACCTAGCAGTAATCCCCCAGTTGCTTACCAACACGAGGGGTATAACTCCTTCAATTGGCATGCAAATGGGCACAATTCGTCCCCACATCATTATTATGGACAAAACTACAACCCCGCTTACTACAGTCAGATGGAATATTTCAATCAGCAGAATAATCAGAACCAAATGCAAATGGGGAACCACATGGGTGGAACTTACCAAATGGGGAGTTATCCTGGTATGACTATGACCGCTTCACATCATCAGAATTTTAGTCCTAGACATCCTACAGACTGCAGTTTGGATTATATGAACCAGATGGTTTAGTAAAGTACAAACTTGATTTCTCTTTAGTTTAAGACAATCGATATATCGTTTTTAAGTGCATATCAGAGTGTAAATATTAATAAAATTAAAGGGCCTAAAATAAGGCGTTGTACAATAAGAGGAAAACGAATATTTGTATATAATTTTTATGTATTTTATGACGATATATATGAAAGGGCTCTTTTTGGGGAATATTTTAAAAAAATTAAGAACGTTTTTATAATGTAAATAGCGTGATTTGAATTGCATTTATAACTATTTTAAATTGTAAGTGTAAATCTAATTTATCAAATGTTTTTGATGTCCTTACATAAAGATATCTTCATATTATTATTAAATTAAAATCAAAAGAAAAAAATTCAAAAATAATTGTTTTGTAAATGAGTGAATAACTTTTTTTAAATTGAACGCAGCTTTTTCTAAAGCTAAGAAAAGTTTTTTAGAATAAAAATGTATGATTTATTTTCTACAAGTCTAAGAAAATAAATGAAAAATCACGCATTATTCTATTAAAAATGTATCTTTAGAATGATTTGGTTTTTATATTTGGCATTTCTTAGGTGTCTTCAAGTTTTTTTATAAAAAAATATTTTTGTTTAATGTAAATTTATCAAATTAAAAATTATTTGTAAATAAAAATTATTATTTTTATTAAATAGTTTTTAAATTGTCTTATAAATGATCATGTAATTTCATAATATCTATTAAAATATCAGTCAAAGTATTTAATGCGTTTCAGTATAACCTTAATAAAAAAAATCAAACAATTAATTTAAGGGGCCTCAAAATCTCGTGGACTTCCAGCTAAATCCGTATCTGCACAATGCAAGAAGAAAGTTAAACAGGTTTTAGATTGTAATAAAACAGTAAAAAATTACAACAGAGCTGGCTCTAAATTATTACACTTTTATCAAAATCATCAGGTAATAAAGATATTGCAAGTTCACTTAAGGTCAGTCACTATTAGCGTCGGCCTTGTTTTGACATCTGAGCATGCGCAGATTGTTTACTTTCTAGAATTGACTTATTAAAGATAGTGACTGTCCAATAACACTTAATTGTGGATGTTAAGTCTACAATTTTACTAACATTCAGAACTTTTCTTTTACACCTACATAACAAAATTAAATAGACTACAAACCAAAGGATTTTTAGACGAAAATCGAACTCCTTTGGGAATAACCAATGTTGTTTTTACTCTCATGAAAGGATATAGAGTTGTAATAGAAATATCTGTTTCACCAGCAGGTAAAGATTATTGTTGAATTAGCTTCAATACAACCAAGTCAGTCTTATTAAATTTAGTTCCTGACAATTTTCTATGACGTCTACTCTACATGTCTACAATTATTGTAAATAAAACGTTTAATCCAATCTATCATACGAACTACTTTCTCAAATTTAAAAAAATATCGATATTACCAATTAACACCTTTTCTTTTCTCTTCAAAAATTTCCTTTTCATTGCAATTTCTGATCACCATAAATCAGATGAACATTTTAACCTAAAATAATAATAAACTAATAACAAAATAAACTAATATTACTAGTACGTACTTGTTCATAGCTACATTCCTACCTACCAAACGAAGGTGTTCGAAAAATAAACACAAACTTTTATCCAGCCACAACAGCATGTCACATAAGATTTAAAAATAGTAACAACAAAAAAGTAACGCACTATCATTAACATAAACATTGAAAAATAAAAAAGCACGTTCAATGAGAAGGCTGACACTCAGACTCATCGATAATTTTTTTAATGTTTGCAGTATAATTTGATACAGCCATTCGAATACAATTATCCAAATGATTATCTGCAAGTCGATTGCGATATTTGTTCTTAATAAACTTCATATTGCAGTTTTAAATTGTTTTACATTATTAAAACATAATTATCGACTTTAAAAAGAAATTAATTAATTTTTTTGTTTTATAAACATCGAAAATATTTTTTAAACACTCAAGGGCCTTTTTAAATAATCGTAAAATTTGATTATTCAAGAGATATTTATTTAAATAAATTGATTTTACAGAAACATATTTTCTTGTCTACAAAAATTTAATATCAAAAATATATGTATATAAATATAAATTTAATCTGCGATAAAATAGAGTTATTACTAAATGGCATCTGCCATCTAGTGGCGAATATGTGGAATTACAGATATTACTTTTGAGTATTTGTATCTATGTAGCTCAAACCCCAAGTTTTTTCAAATTGATAACGCAATTTGACCCAATAAAGCTACAAAATGAGTAATTTTGTGTCTCTTGGATATTCATGATAGTTTTATTTCGTCCTTTGTCCTATATATAAAATTTAAATATGTTACCTAGTTGTATTCAGTCATTAAAATAAAAAAAAATATAGATATATCAGTTTTTACACCTCAGGAATACTCGATAAATTTTGTAACATCTTTTGTAGTAAAAAAAAATATTATATACTTATTGCTTTTGTTTTTTCAATTTTAAAAGAATACATCTATATTATTTTAAATATTGCGATTTGGTTAATTTGGTAATAAACGAGTAGTGAAAGTTCTCATGAGAAAAAAAGTGTTAAATAAAAAATATATTAATAATTAAACTGGATCTGCAACATGATTACGTAAAATTTAAAAATGTGTGATAGATGTGCTTTCGGAAAAATTCGGATTTTATCTTATAAAAACTCCAACATAGTTGATTGCATCAAATCAATATTAGTTTAATTTATATACAAAAATGATTCGGTTAATTCCGTCTGTATACATTTTAAATATTTAAATTGTTTGTGCATGAAAATAAATGTTTTATCTAAAAATGTGTAAATCAAAATGGTATAGAGTATCAATAAAGTATGTATTGGAAAAACAAGAGCAATAAAAATAAACATTTATACCCAATTAATGAAACAAAATTATATAAATATCAAATTAATATCGAAATTTATTAAATTGTGTATATGTGGTCGAAATGAAAATAATAAATTGTTTTTGCAATTCTATCGTTTGTTTTTGTATTTGTTCGAATGTAAACATAATTTTTAAATTGTAAATAAATATATTATAACATATCGTTGCAGTTTTATTGAAACCTTATTCTGATAATTGATTTAAAATATAACTGAATTAATAAAAAAATAAATATGTTACGTTTTATAGGAAAAAGTAAAAAAACAGTGACACAGAAATGTTATAGTGTGGATTAGATTTATTTTACGTTATTTGTAAGGGATTTTCTCGCCACAGAGAAAACGATTCTTTACGAATGACGCTGGTTACGGGCGGTTCTCGAGCGCCAGATTTTTGGTGATGGTTTACTCCACGAACTTTCGAAACGGCGTCGAAAGTACTCGGGTAGCTACAGATGGAGATGAAAAATTCCAGGGGTCAAAGGTCACTTAGACACAGGTAATAGTAGGCCAAAGTAACGGGCTTTAATCGTTGCTTCGGCTGGTACAGAATTAATCACTAGCTGAAATATAAGGGGGAAATAAATTTAGGAATTAACAACCAGTAATACGGCCAGTTAACATTGACACATACATTGTTTTAAAATATTTACAAACGAAAAGGAATAAATTAATGTATTTCAAATGTTGTTCCCCAAAATATATTTTGTGAGTCGGTTCGGCGTGGCTTAGTGGTCCAGGATGGTGTGGCGAAGATATGACAAGAGGTTAGGTTACCTTTACGGTGATGGAAGTCCCTCGAAATCAATACCTTCGTGGGAGAGATTCACGGGAAAGGAACACCTACAAAGTCAATACCTTTGCAGTTAAGGGTCGGGACGTCGGGAAGCCCACAGAGTCAATACCTCTGCAGGAGTAGGAGAGGAGAGTCTTTCTGACAAGAATTAAATTCGGAGCTCTTTATATACTTGTCTCTGCTTGGCAAAAACGGCTACATGCTGAACCATAGGCGTATCTAAAACGGTGTTACTGGGGAACATCGTTACATATTTCACAATTATAGTTTATTTCAAAATGCATTTTATGGCACAGGATTGTTCAAAACAGATAAAAGTAAATATTGATACCTTATCTGAATTTTCATTAGATTTTAGTATGACTACCATGAAAAATTTTGAATACAATACATCACAAAATGTAAATGAGTAAACCCTAATAATTCTATATCTCAGTGACAGAGAACACGAAATTACTGTAATATAAAAATAGTAAACTGTCAATATTAAGTAAGTACCTACATTTATTTTTTTAAAACTAGGATACTCCAGAGGCGGTCCCTTATAAATTTGGTTAAGATGTGACGATGGCATATGCACGATTTTTTAAAATTACTTTTAATATATTTTGTCCTGATTCTTATCTTAACTTTTTTATTCCTTGACAATTTTTCTTTGATGTTGTGATATAGATTTACGTTCTTTAAACTGCTGTCAGATGACATGTATGGGAACTTTTTAATATTTTACTATTTTACTCAAGTGATAGACCTTTAAAATATTAAAATATGGTGGATTTACCATAGTTCATAACTCCCTGTAATCAGTGCCTTAATTAGAAAAATCTGAAGGGTGCACTGTTAAATATTTAATTTTTTGCTGATTAAAATTACTAGAAAACTTTAAAAAAGGTGTATTTTTAAAATTTTTAGCAAGAAAACCAAAGATTTTATTTTGGAACAAATAATGCAAAATATTTTATTATAGAAATTCTCCACCACTGATGTTATATTGAGCTTTATCTTCTGGGTTATAAAATTTTTATTATCATTCATGTTCAAATAAACTACAGCTAGTGATCGTGTTATTATTCTTATTATAAATGAATTGTGCCAATAAATGTCAAAAAATGTCTCATAAATCCTCATATTTACCAAAATTAGGTACAATACAAATATTTCAGTCCGGCCCTGAACATTTCCCTACTCCTTCCACCCATACAAATGCAAATGCTTTTTATGTTACCTCTACCCTTTCTAACCTCTTTGTTTTCTATACATATTTTGTAAAAGATATTTGTCTAAAATTTATTTAAAATTTTTTACTTTTTTTATATAAGAAATATTTTTGCTTTATTAAAATAATATTTTACACTATTTACAAATATAACAAAAATAATTACCAAAAATAATCCACATTCGCTAATCCGAAACCTCCTTCCTTACACAAATTAAATACTTACATTGAATAGCCCACTTCCCCTAATGAAAAACTGATCATCCTTTTTCACGTGTCAGATCCTCTGATCCTCTTCTAGTCCGCAAATTCACACAAACTTCATATTGTGAAGTTCAAAGGACCTTCGGCTGGTAACATGTAAGGTTACACTGTCGATTGTTTAGCAGGAAGCTGCACGTGGCCTTGACTAGGCAACTAGATCATGCAGATTAAACGACACGTGGACTGTTCATTAGCCAGCCACGTGTTATCGAACTGTCAACTATTGTTGGTATTTCCT